CAGAGAGAAAAGCAGCACAAAATGTTAGGTTCACTTCTCCGCGATTCTCTTTTCTCCATGGTCTTGGCCTCTCAAGCCCTCGTTGCTTTCTGATACTTTTCAAACAGCGTTTTTGTTTTTTTTTTTAACTTTTTTTTTTTAATGTTTTATTTATTTTTAAGAGAGAGAGAAACAACGGGAGGGACAGAGACAGAGAGGGAGACACAGAATCCGAAGACAGGCTCCAGGCTCCGAGCTGTCAGCACAGAGCCCGACGCGGGGCTTGAATCCACGAACTGTGAGATCATGACCTGAGCCGAAGTCGGACACTTAACCGACTGAGCCACCCAGGCGCCCCAGCGTTCTTTTCTTTTTAATTCGGCTTTTGGTGTTCTTGTGGGGTGGGGTTGGTTTGACACATGCTATTGCATCATGGTCAAGAGTGGACATCTTGGGGCGCCTGGGTGGCTCAGTCGGTTAAGCATCTGACTTCGGCTCAGGTCGTGATCTCACGGCTTGTGGGTTTGAGCCCCGCGTCGGGCTCCGTGCTGACAGCTTGGAGCCTGGAGCCTGCTTTGGATTCTGTGTCTCCTTCTCTCTCTGCTCCTTCCTTCCACCTCCAGAATAAATAAACATTAAGAAAATTTTTTTTAAGTGGAAATCCTAAATTATGATATTGTTGTAACTGGTTAAGTGAGATGGTATATCTAGGAGGCCCTTAGGGAACTGTCAATAGCATCAAAGCTATGTATTGGATACAAGGATGTGTTCCATTGTGATGGCTACATTTCAGTCAGCTAAAGCACCTTTCCCCGTTGTGTTCAATAATCCATTGCTAATCTAGACATGTACACTGGTAAATCTCAAGTTTTTCCGGAGTGTTTTGGGAGCAGCTCTTAACTTTGACCTCTGCTTTTTTTTTTTTTTTCTTTTTTTTTAGGGGAAGGGTTATCGTTGTTGGTTTTGATAACAAGCTGTGGCTTGTTTTTTTATTCTCATTCCCAAGTACCTTTTGTTTTTAGTATATTTTTTTCTTTCAGGGCCTATTTATTCCGTTTCTGCTCATGGTTACGGTCTGCAAGCGAAAAGGTTAAGATTTTGTAAATATGAAATAAGGTAAAAATAATAAAACAACTCTAGTATAAATCAGAAACCATAACAAGCAAGATTCTCTTCCAGGTTTGCATCGTCCTCTAGTGACAAAAGAGATTTATAAATCTATCCCACATTGCTTGCTTCCCAAACTCACCTCTTTTTCTTCTTTCTTGGTTAATAGCATCTCCCCTTGCAAAGCTGGGACAGAAGCCTGAAATGGGGCGATGTGTGTATGTGCTGGGGGACGCTTTCACTTTGCCTTTATGTCTGATTAGTCACTGATTTTGTTGGTTCCAGCCCGACATTCCTCTTCTCCTTCCCCTCCTCCCCATTTCTCCCGTGTACCCACATCCTCTCTTACCTGGACAGCTGGTCTCCAAATTTGCCTCCCTGCCTCAGTATCATTTCCTTCTAAATCAGCCCCCTCAATACACAAGAAGTCATCTTTCTATAATGCAAATCTGAGCATATCACTCACTACCGTGCTTTAAACCCTTTAAGACATGTCCAGAAGGGGCAACTCCATAGAGACAGAAGGCAGCCTAGTGATTGCCAGGGGCTGGCAGGGAGCGGAGAATGGGAAGAGATAGCTAATGGATATCAGGTTCCCTTTGGGGTGATGAAAACATCCTGCAACAAGATAGTGGTGACGGTTGCACAACATTGTGAATGCACGAAATGCTACTGTCCATTTAAAAATGGTTAGAAGAAGGGTGGGGCGCCTGGGTGGCTCCGTTGGTCGGGTGTCAGACCTCAGCTCAGGTCATGATCTTGTGGTTTGTGAGCCCGAGCCCCGCGTCGGGCTCTGTACTGACAGTTCATGTGCAGAACCGCTCGTGGGCTGTGGGGTGTCTGTGCACTTTCGCACTCCTCTGTGTTTGCAAGGGCAGTTTCCTCTGGGTGTGGTCCTTCCCCCACCCCAGCCAGCATCATCTGTCCAGATATCTGCTCCTCCAAGGCTCCCACGAAGTCTCCCCTGATACACCCACATCAACACGCCCAGTGTGAATTTCCCACGATGTCTTGTCGCCTATAAAAGCACAACCGGGAAACCTTTACAGCCAGGTCCACGTTTCTGGTTCCAGGGAGAATTATATCCTTCTCTAAAAATTAAAGTGGAATGAAGCTTGAAAGTGTTTGCATAACCCTTTTAAGATTCATGACACATTTGTGACCCCCCTGGAACATCTGGAATACGTGAGTTTAGAGGTCTCAGCTCTCGTGTGGAAACACCCAACATACGCAGTTTCTGTTGCTGAGACCAATTCTACCCAGGGAGCCTTGGGATTAATCTTGTCGCATTTAAATATGGAATCATGGCCCTGTCGCATTTTGTTACACACCTCTAAAAACCGTGGCGTGGTTTGTGCCCTTGATTTGTGAGTGGTGAGCAGCTTGGCTATAAACAACAGAGTGATTTTTTTCGGCACTCAAAAATTTATCTTTTGGTTTTTTTCTGGCACTCGTAAATTTATTTTTGAAGTTAACATCAGTAAAATGCTCTATATGAATCTGCTAGGGAATATACTTTGAAAATTTTGTGACATGCGAAAACGACCTTGTTCCTAAATGAGTTTTTCCTTCCAATCTTCATGGCACCGTTTATGATGTGATTTGGTCCTAGGCTGGGGGGCCATGCAGGTTACTGAGAATAAGAATTGTTAACACCCAACCCAATCTCTTCTTCACCACTTGATTATCATGGTCATGGAAGTGTGTGTGCGTGTGTGTGTGTGTGTGCGCACATGCACGTGTGTGTGTGTGTGTGTGTGTGTGTATGTGTGGGTAAATACCAAGAGGGCAGATGATGAGGAAGAAATACACTAAGATGAGATCATGACTAGGTGTTAATTTCTGTTTGCGTTCTCTATTGATATAAATAGAGAATTGCCTGGTTTGCCACAGAATTGTAAAAGGTTTTCTAAACAGTGGTTCTCAAAGAGTAGTCTTTGGACCAACGGCATCAGCATTACCTTGGAATTGTTAGAAGTGTCAGGCCCTGCCCTGGACCTTCAGAGCTGGAAAGTCTAGGGGTTGGGGCTCAGCAATCTGTCTTAAGAAGCTCAAGCATCTTGGGGCACAGTCACGTTTGAGAGCCACTGTTTTCAGCAACCCCCTCAAACCCAGATTTCTTGATGCTAGTGTAGGAATACAAGGCTTTAGGGTAGTTTGATACAAGCATTTTGATCCTGGCTTTTGAATAGGGAGGACCATTGGAAAAATAATGACAATGGCTAATATTTATTGAGTTCCATCCCAGTCCAGACACCGTGCTAAGTGTTCCATGAACATTACTCCATTAATTTCTCACGTAATTCCCAACTATCCCAAGAGGTAATACTTTCTTCTCTCTTGTACAGTTAAGGAAACTGAGGCTCAGAGCAGGTAAATTACTTGTCCAGTGTCACACAGCTTGCTGTGCCTCAAGTCTTGCTCCTGCACACTGACTCCAAGCCACGCCATAAAGGCTCCCCCCCCCAATTAGCTGCAGCTCTGGTCCTGGAGGCAGACTGACCTTTTAGCTCTTGGATTCAGCATACCACCGTTCCGGACCATTGCTGCCAAATTCATTTCCAGTCGAAGCAGCAGCTGGGTTTTGTCACAAACATGACTTTCTTAAGTGTCCTCAGCTGAGCTGAAGTTGCACAAAATCACTCATCAGATTTCTGCCAAGGCTGGAGATTTGGATGGGAATCTACAGGAGAGAATTCTAGCCTGGGATTGTGGGGGCAGCAAAAGTTTTCCTCCAGAGTCACCTACAGGGACTCATGTCACACGTATGTTCACTTTCAGTCTGTGACGAAGCAAGACATGTTGGGTTCCCAGATGCAAGCTTGAACACAAATGGTAGATGGGCTCCACTGTCGTTGCAGCAAGGGACAAACGGCCATTGATGGAGTGTTGCATGAAGCAGGTGTTTCCAATCGCATCTGAAGGTTAAGTCCTAGCTCACTTAATGGCGGTCTGCTTCCCTTACCTGCCTCAGAGGGCTGTTGAGAGATGGGTGAAGTGTTCTGTGACTAAGCTGCAAAGTTTGGCTCAAATGTGAAGAATGGTTGTACAAATACCGCGACTTGAATAAAAACGCTGGTGCCTGCATCAGAAGCCAGGTTCTAGCTTATTCTCTCAGTTACGATTGTGTGACTTGGGCAAGCCTCCGAAGAGCTCCGTGTCACTCCGTCACCGAGACTGGTGTGAATGGTGATCTCTACCATCTCTCTGCACACCTGGGCTAGCTGTGAGCTGCAAAGCAAAACTCATCTACTGATGTTGACCCCACTGGCCACATGGCAAGGTTGTAAGATGCTGGGGGCTGGGGGTGGATTTGTAGTATAATAAATGCACTACGGAAATATATCTGTACTCTTTTTCTGCCTCCGTTCCCTTCTTAATTGAGACAGGTAAAACACGCTACGAAGGGCCTCGTCAAAGTGGTCCTTACTTGCCGATTGTGACTTAGCAGCTAGAACACGCTGAATGGGATCCCTCACTCCATCCACTACTGGCCGCTGTCCGGTTGCCACATGTGCCATAGAATATCTCAGGCTACAATGACTCCCCCATGCGGGAGGCCTGCCAACACCCACTGTCAGTTCTTTCCCTTTTGGTACTGAATCATGAAGGCCTCTCCTGGTCCTCTACTTGGGGCACTTGCTGCTGAGCCTACAGTCTTTCTGAGTACAAAGACCAGTACCCCCATCCTGACCCCACCCCTTTCTTAAATTAGTATGGCACCTAGCACTAGGGTCTGAATTCACCTTAACTATAGGTGTTTAAGAATGTGTTGTACATCGGGGCGCCTGGGTAACTCCGTCGGTTGGGCGTCCGACTTCAGCTCAGGTCACGATCTCGCGGTCCGTGAGTTCGAGCCCCGCGGCGGGCTCTGGGCTGACAGCTCGGAGCCTGGAGCCGGCTTCCGATTCTGTGTCTCCCTCTCTCTCTGCTCCTCCCCTGTTCACGCTCTGTCTCTCTCTGTCTCAAAAATAAATAAAAACATTAAAAAAAAAAATGCGTTCTACATCTTGTTAGGTGACACAGGTAACCGTGCCATCCAAACTCAGTGAGTCCGTATTAAACACAAGTGCATTTCAGGGTGTGTTAATTTTACATAAAATCTGGAGGCAGTGTACTGATGCCTGCATTTTACTTTGAAACGTGTCAAAAAAGATAAGATGGATTAATAGATGGGCAGTGAGGAAATGAGTACCGTGGGCGTTAACGAGAGAACCTAAGTGGTAAGTCTATGAAATTCTTTCAGATGTGCTGTATGTTTGAATAGTTTTCACAATAAAAGGTGGGGGGGGGGGGAAGTAGTACTCTGTGCTACTCAAAAAGATGGCCTTTTAACATTTCAGGTGTCAAAGACTTCCATTTATTGTCGTTTTAATTTTTTGGAGAATCCAAATATCCCCTGTATTAATGGCAAACGCTGAGATGCCAGGTAGAGAGTGCAGGGTGAAGGCCACATGGGTCAGCGGACTGAAGGGGGGGAATTGGGTGCATCCCTCCAGCTGGTTGTGGACCGACCTGGCCCCGGGGTAGTCCTCACCAGGTAAGAATAACCGACCACGGGGCAGCAGACGGCTCCCTCCCAAGAGGAGAAAGACAATTCTACGCTTCATGCATGTGAAAGATGAACACAACTTTGTGTTAAAGTAGCTAACCACGGGGCGCCTGGGTGGCTCAGTCGGTTGAGCGTCCGACTTCGGCTCAGGTCATGATCTCACAGTTTGTGGGTTCGGGCCCCGCATCAGGCTCTGTGCTGACTGCTTGCTCAGAACCTGGAGCCTGCTTCAGATTCTGTCTCCTTCTCTCTCTGCCCCTCCCCCGCTCACGCTTTGTCTCACTCTGTTTTTCAAAAATAAAATAAAAATGTAAAAAAAAAAAAAAATTAAAGTAGCTAACCACACACTTGTAGACCTTATCCTACCTTAACGTACCTGTTATGAAAGCTATCAAATCTAAGACAATCAGCATGCCCCAAAGGCCTGGATTGTTAGAATATGTTCCGTATTTCATGTAAGCTTTAAAAATACTTTAATCTGAACTAAAATTTTCCCTTCATGTAGAACATCCGTTTCTCTAACTTTTTTTTACCTTTTACTTTTCTTCTCCAAGGTAATTGTTCGAGGTGGAGGGCACATTTTACCCTACGACCAGCCGCTGAGATCTTTTGACATGATCAATCGATTTGTTTTCGAGAGAGGATGGGATCCTTATTGATGGATAAGCTGCTGTCCTAAAAAAGAAAAAAAAAAGGTCAGGGGACTTAATCTTTGAGAAGAAAACTTCCAAACCTGAAAATGTCGTATAAATAAGAAAAGTACCTTTTTATAGCTTTTTATAGCTTTAAAATGTTTCTCATCAATAAAAATTATCCTTGAAACAAGTAAGGTTCTGTTTTGGGTGAGAGATGGCTCCTTACAAAATTAACTGTAAGAAAATGCTATGCGGGGGTGCCTGGGTGGCTCGGTCGGTTAAGCGTCCGACCTCTGCTCAGGTCATGATCTCGCAGTTCATGAGTTCGAGCCCCACGTCGGGCTCTGTGCTGACAGCTCAGAACCTGGAGTCTGCTTCAGATCCTGTGTCTCTCTGTCTCTCTCTGCCCTCCCCCTGCTCACGCTGTGTCTCTGTCTGTCTCTCTCTCTCTCTCTCTCTCTCAAAAATAAACCAAAAAAATTTTTTTAAAGAAAATGCTACCCGTGATTAGGAATGGTATCTTGTAACTGAAAGGACGGGAAGAATGGATTCAGAGACACTGTTTCAGATGGAAACAGATAAACGGAAGGCGGAGGTCTTGAATAGGAATTTTAAATTCCTTCTAAGAGTGTGTGCAAAGTGCAGTAGGGGAGTAAAGTTGTCACAACATTTTGTTCTGTAAGTAACAATAGAGTTTGTCATAGTATGTACCTGGAAGTATTTCAGAAGTAGTATTGGGTAAGAGCATCTCATTGTCACTCCAAAGGAATGGGTGCCATCATGATGGTGGTGGACAAGACTTTGGAATGTGGACAGTCTTAGCAAGAAAGGTAGCTTGGAATTCTTTGAAATAGAAATTTTACATATAAAAGTAACAATGCACCAACTGGCAATATGTAGAGGATCATATTCAAAGGACACACTGAATCTGTGTCTTTTCTTTTCTTTGTTTTTGTTTTTTTTGTTTTTTTTGTTTTTTTTTGCTTTTTGGGGGTTTTTAGTTTGTTGGTTCAAGTGTACCCATTTACCAAACAGCCTGCAGGCCGCATTAGTTATGAGCCGTTTTCAATTTGGATTTTAAATTCTGTGCTTCTTGTAGCCAAATAGAGACCGAACTAATTTTGTGTAATTGTTGGAATCTCAAAAAAATTTGAGATACTCTGGCATCAAAATATATACATTCATAAATATGCACACATTAGTAATTTTCCAGCTAAAATATCACATCTTGGCACATCTCTCCTATTTATGCATCATGTGCTCTCATCTCTAATTTTCTACAGCATGTTTGGCTTTTTCAACATCATTTCCCTCTCATATTACCCATTTATGAATTGGCTCACTGGAGAACTGAATTTAAAAAGTCAAAACTTATTCTCGCTGCAAATATTTTGGGTCTTTTCAACTTCTCATTTTGTGCCTGATTTCATTCAGGTTTGTGATCTTCCTTTTTTTTTTTTTTTTAATAGATATATTTCCGGGGCGCCTGGGTGGCTCAGTCAGTTGAGCGTCCGGCTTCAGCTCAGGTCATGATCTCGAGGTCTGTGAGTTTGAGCCCCGCGTCAGGCTCTGTGCTGACAGCTCAGGGCCTGGAGCCTGCTTTGGATTCTGTGTGTGTGTGTGTGTGTGTGTGTGTGTGTGTGTCTGCCCCTCCCCCACTCATGCTCTGTCTCTCTGTCAGAAATGAACATTAAAAAAAATTTAAAATATATATATATATATATATATTTCCTTGTGCCCATGTAGGAGGAGTCGTCAAATCAAACATTCTGATCAAAAACAGATTTTAATTATTGCAGAGAATAAACTAGAGTTTTGCATGTGGCCCCACCTGCCATTTACATTGTTGCATTTGGTCCCAAAAATATGCAGTGGAAACGGTACCAACTGTGGCTGGGAAAATGCCATGCGTGTCACACCTGCAGTGGACATTTCTGGGTATGTCACCTCACTGTCCTCGCTTTGCCAACTCCCAAAGGAGGCAGCCCGAAGAGACTGCTGAGGTTCCTTTCAGTTCACACGTCATTGTACTAGTGTCCATCTCACAAGGGTACCATGAGATGATATAGTGAATCTTCATTATTCATAGATGCCATGTTTGTATGACCTGTTCACTAAAATGTATCTGTAACCCCAAAACCAATAGTTGCTCACTTTTGTGGTCATTCACGAACACGTACCAAGCGATGAACAATTTGAGTTGCCCAACGTGCATGTTCTCAGCTGCGGCCAAACAGGTGTTCTTTTTGTAGTTTATTTAGTGCCATGTGTTTTTTGTTTTCCTTGTTTTTTTTTTTTTTTTTTTTTTGCACTTTTGTGCTTTTTGTTGGTGCTTTTGCCATTCAAAAGGGTTCCTACACACAGTACTGAAACACCGTGTAGTGTTCCCTCGGTGCAGGAAGGCTGTGGTGCGCCTTGTGGAGAAAGTACATCTGTTAGGTATTCTTCATTCAATCATGAGTTATAGTGCTGTTGGCCATGAGTTCAATATTAATCAAGCAAGAATATCTATTTTATGAGGTTTCTTTCAACAGAAACACACGTAAAACAAGGTTGTGGATTAATTGGTTGACAGAAATGGGACCAGAGGCTAGTAGGAGCCACATGCTTCCTGTATGTCCCCCTGGATCAATGATTTAGAATTCACTAATTCAGTATCTGGGGAGATGGTATAGAAGATAACTAGAGTGAACAAAGAGAATTGACAGCATTTCTAGAACAGCAGAGGGACCAACACAAAATAATAGGTCAATAAATAGAAGTTGTAGGTGCAGTCATTTTTAGTGTCTCCCTGCCCCAAGCATAGGATAGTGGGGGGTACTGGGGGACGACCTGCCAGGTCTTCCCAGAGCAACCTGAGCCAACTCCCCTGAGGGTACAGTATTATAGAGACTAAATCTGGCAGGTATTTTAGTTTAAAAGAAGGGAGAGAAGAGTAGTTCAGAGACTAAAGGAAAACAAGGTTTTGAATTCACTTGGAGAGAGTCCTTTGTGTAAGAGAACCTTTGGGTGGGGTACACACTCTCCGTGGGACATTCAAGACAATCCATTAAGATGCCCCCTCTTGGTCCAAACATGAGACAGTCTGATGTCCCACATGGCTGCCATTACTTCGAGCAACTTCCACACAGAGAGGGAGCTATAGGGAGGAGAGGTGAGGGACCTTCTTGTGGTGCTGGGTCCAGCGTATTGCCAATTACAAGTTCCATGCTGATATGATGCTATCCATGGGATTCATTTCATAAAAACAAAGCCTTCAAAGAGTGGGATCTTTATAGGGCTTTGCCATTCGATGGGGAATGGCCCGGTACGCCTCTCATACCCTACTGGTAATCTCATGGCAGTGTATTTAAAGAGCTGTAGGACCCGGGAACGAGTTGTGCATTCTTTCTTTGACAAACAGGCAAGTGTCATAGACTAGCTGTCATTTTCTGTCATGGCAAGTGGCTATTGTTAGTATGTCGTCTAGCAGATATTTTTTTAAAGTCAACACACACACAAAAATCAATAAATAGTAAACATACAATCTGTCTTTTCATGGTAGAAGTGACATATCAACAATTACTGAGAAAGTCATTTCTTTTTTTTTTAATTTTTTTAAATATTTATTTTTGAGACAGAGAGAGCAAGAGAGAGAGAGGTCATGCATGAGCAGGGGAGGGGCAGAGAGAGAGGGAGACACAGAATCTGAAGCAGGCTCCAGGCTCTGAGCTGTCAGCACAGAGCCCGTTGTTGGGCTTTGACCCACGAACTGTGAGATCATGACCGGAGCCGAAGTCGGATGCTCAACCGACTGAGCCACCCAGGCGCCCCAAGAAAGTCATTTCTTTTCAAAAGAAAGTCAAACTATGGCAAGAACGTTTTGAAAACAGATGTTTGGAAATGTTTCCATTTACTTTGTGTGGCACATTACAAGGAAAAAAAACCCTTATATCAAAGAAAATTTCAACAAACATCTTTGAATAAAGGATAGGTAGGATTGAAAAATGAGTTTGGGGAGCTAATAAAGTTTATCTAATGAGGCATTTCTTGCATCTGGTTCTATGTGTCTCCATTTGTAAAGTGTCTCCTTCAGCTCTGATGGACTTTGAAACCAAGCGTCAGAGTAAACTGAACATATAACCAGACTTTGAATTGCTGTATCACAAAAGGGTGACCCTAGATTTTTCAAATATGACAAAGCATATTCAACACATTGATCCTATTTAAAAGTATACTAGCAGTGATATTTTAGAAAGTAAAAATACTTGTGCTACTAAAAATCAAATACGGTTTTTAAAAATGAAGGATGTAAAATTTCATCTTTATCATTTTAATGTTTCTATGTTGATTACTATTTTATAAGGTAAATGTGATTACAGTCGTGGCATGACTATAAATGAATGAATAATTATTTTTTTGCTATGCCTTCAGCAACTTTTAAATGATGGAGTGACACATCCTTATGTATCTTTGGAAGAGCACTGTTTGAGAGGACAGAGAGAGTCCACATGTAACAAACTGTGTTAAACTATGTACCGATTTTTTTGGAAGTTTATGTATTTATTTTGAGAGAGAGAGCGCACGCGCGCAAAAGAGAGAATCCCAGGCCGGCTCCGCTATCAGCTCAGAGCCCAAGGCGGAGCTGAAACCCAGGAATCTAACCGTGAGATCAGGACCCGAGCCAAAATCAAGAGTCGGACGCTTAACGTGCTGAGCCACCCCGGCGCCCCATACCTATTTTGTTAAATTAAAAAAGCAAAGCATGTAACAATACACTATGCTTTCATTTATAAGAAAGGAAGGGAAACTAAATAAACAAATAAGAGAAAGAGGAAGGGAGGGAAAGAAACAGAAGTTTTGTAAAGGATTGGTGTCTCTGGGAAGATAAATAAGAGACTAGTAGCATTAATGAAGGAAGGACTGGGTGTTGGTGGTGGCGGGGAGGAAGACTTAGGATTTTTATACAGTTTTCTGCTTATGATGTATGTGTATATATACTATATACACATTATAGAATTTATATACATATAAAATATATAGTATGTGTGTGTGTATAAC